CGTCGGATCCGGGGCGGGCGGCGCGATTCCACTCGCAGGAATGGCAGGCGGCTGCGCGAGGGGATGTGGGGAGCGCGCACGCTGAAATGTCCCTCCCGCCAACCGCTTTCGCGGGATACAGGGCACCGGCGGGGTGGGGCGGGGAGGGGGGGCTGTGTTTTGGCGGGTCGGAGGGCGATTTTACCGCGCCCTTCAAAAAAATTTACGGGTCGGACGCTTTTAAGGTTTCTATTCGAGACACTTTTTCGCCAAAAAACTGTGAACGGACGGTTATTTTGCGGGTCGGGACGATTTAAGTGGTCTGCTAGAGATGCTCTAAGGTCGGTTGTGATTCAGTCTCAAATGCGGAATTTCTAGTAAATCCTAGAAGAAATAGCATGGTGTGGCATGTAGGGACTTTTGATGATACGACGTTGAACAGGGACCACCCTTCGCTCTTATTACCTCCACGCCCTGCCCTGCCCTGCCCGGCGCATGCATGCGTTGGTCTCCACCTCCGCACACCTTGGATCTCATCTCATCTCCCCCAGCTCTCTCCATCGAGTTCGACGCGGTGCAGTTCTTGGCGATAGACATGGGCAGGTGCTCTGCATTGTTATTGTCCTCTTCGATCGCCGCGGCCGCCTGAGGAGCCGGCGCGGACGGGGTAGAAGATGAAGGATAACGTCGCGGCGGCGGTGCCTCGGTTGGTGGCTCACCGCGACGTCGAGATGTTCTCGCATTACGTCGGTATGATTCACAGCCATACGTCATATTTTTTCTTCTTCGCCCGTGGTTAATGTAGCTTGCGTTGTCGAAACCGAGCCCATTCGTCGCTCGCTTCCTTGAGGCTAGAAGTAATTTAGGCTTTGAATGAATGGACAACTCTGCAGAATGAATTGAATTACATGTGTGTTCTGATTTCATGGCGGATCAGGTCAGGTCTCTGCATTTGCACGACCAGGAGACAAACAGGGCCTATTCGATCACGAGAAATTGATCATACCTCGGATTTCATTTGATACACGAATGACGAATCTTGCATTTCAGCATTTTCTCTGTGGGTTACACTGATCTTTTTTTTGTTGCTAATCGACTTATTTTCCTCGTAAGTTTTCGTTTTTTTTAGCCGACTCATAAGTTTTCATAGATGTATTTCAATGCTAAATCTTTACTGTTTTCGCTGAACATGTTTCCCCTGCATCATTGTTTTATGCTGACCGTTGCCGCATGTACTGTTCATCGATTCCGAGTAACATAAGCAATGTTCCATTCATCAGCACTTATCTGAATCTGTTTTTCAGCTAATCAAATCGGGATCGAGGATCCGAACCAGTGCCCCCACCTTTGTACAATGGCCTACGAGTACCTGAAGAAGAGCGAGGGCTACGAGCAGAATCTGCTCGCCTTCTTCCACAACAACATGGACCCGGACGCCCTGCTCGTGAAGCTGATCGAGGAGCTGGACAGATGCATACTCGGCTACTTCTCCTTCCACTGGAAGTGTGCAACCCACGTGATCACGCAGGTAGTATACGGCAAAGGGATCGGATTAAACGAGAGGAGAAATTTTGCACACTGACCTACTGACCTCTTGTTCGTAAAAATATGTTTCTCTGTATCACTTGCTTAATTAGGTTCTGACAGCAGAGCAACCTAAACGCAAGCTCAGGAGCTTGGTGTTTGAGGCCACTAGGTAATTAATCAACTGTCTACTTTTCATATACATGTAATGATTGACTGATCCGGCCGGCACAAAATACGCAAGAGAACAAGTTAGTCGTATAGATTCTCGATGGAATCTGGTTTTCGGTTCTTGATGATTGGGCAACGTACGTCCAGGAAGATGAGGTTCGAGAGGGTGACGAGAGAGCTGAAGGTGACGAGGCTCTTCTCGACTCTGATGGAGGAGCTCAAGGTGGTCGGGATAAGCTGCCACGACAACCAGCCGCGCTACCCCCCCGCGGAGGTGATGGTCCCGGCGGCGCAAGGCGACCGCAGCCCGGTGCTGCTCCTGATGGGCGGCGGCATGGGCGCCGGCAAGAGCACCGTGATCAAAGAAATCATGAAGGAGTGAGTCTCGTCGATCGAGTCGCCGGCAAGAGCATGCAGTGAGCACCGTGTGTGCCCGATCGAATCAATGCGAATTAATGCGTACTTGCAGGATGTTCTGGTCTGGCGCGGCGGCGAACGCGGTCGTGGTGGAGGCCGACGCGTTCAAGGAGTCAGACGTCATCTACCAGGCCATCAACTCCCGCGGCTACCACAACGACATGCTGCAGACCGCCGAGCTGGTAATCAATCAATGGAGTACTAGTTTTCTTGCGCGTTGCAGCAGTACAAATGCGTGCATGCATAACGCAGGTGCACCGGTCGTCGACGGACGCGGCGGCGTCGGTGCTGGTGACGGCGCTGAACGAGGGACGGGACGTGATCATGGACGGCACGCTGTCGTGGGAGCCGTTCGTGCTGCAGACCGTGGCGATGGCGCGGGACGTGCACCAGCAGCGGTACCGCATGGGGGTCGGGTACAAGGTGGCCGCCGACGGGACGACCACCGAGCAGTACTGGGAGGTCGTGGAGGAAGAGGAGGGCGTCGGGCCCAACTGCAGAATGAAGCCCTACCGCATCGAGCTCGTCGGCGTCATCTGCGACGCCTACCTCGCCGTCATCAGAGGGATCAGGTAACTAGCTAAGAGCAACTCTACCCGATCCTTTTAATAATAAAGAAGTATCGGCCAAGCAAAACTATTTGAGTGGTTTTACTTCACACTATTTTTTGACGGATCCAGCCGATCTTCTAAATTTAGTGATCAAATGCATTTTATTTTCGATCACTGAACAAACTTCATTGCTTTTTTTTTTTGCGGGAGCTTCTTTATTTCATTAGACGATATTCTAATATACGGAGTACATAATTCATCGATTTTTCGCTAAGAGAATTGAACTAAAAAACAAAAACCATAATTAGACATTTTAGCAGAAATCCAACTTCTATGACTGCTCCCACTAGTTGAATTAAATTTTCTCTATGCCTTCAGCTGATCCTCTCAATTGGCTTTCCAAGTTTGCACACTTCTTTCTTCCTCGGTTCCGACGAATTTGACATTGCGTCGGTCTCATCTCTAGTCTCTACTCTAGCAAGGAGTGCACAAACATCTATCAAATTTCTCGCTACCAATAGGTCGATGTAATCTTGTTTTCAATACAAAAACATGCATTCATCTTACCCATAATTTTGAGCAAACAATGAGCCACAAGTTGTAACGAATCCGATGAACAACCAGATAGACAAGCACTCACCCCATCTCTTTTGCACTTGTAAGAGAGTTCAACAGTCCACTTCCCTCCCGATCCCCTCTGTCTCCCGTCCACCTCCCCTCTAGATCCTGTGTACCTCTCTCCCGATTCCCTCCGCCTCTCATCCGCCTCCCGTCCACCTCCACCTCCAGACCCCGTCCACCTTCCTCCCGATCCCCTCCGTCTCCCGTCCACCTTCCCTCCAAATCCCGTCCACCTCCCTCCTGATCCCCTCCGCCTCTCGCCCGCCTCCCCTCCCGCCGTCGCCGGATCACGGCTGGGCGAAGCCCGTGCGGGGGGATGATGGTGGCGGCGGGGCGTCCCTCTGTCGTGGCTTGAAGGTGTGGTTGTGATGGTGGATCTTGAATGGTCGCCTCGGGATGACGTGTGTGTGGCCATGGTGTCGGTCACGCAGCGATGAGACCTCCTCTACCTTTGGATGTCTTCATCTCGGTCCAAAGAGATCTGGTCGGTGGATGTTACCTAGCGGTGGCTTCCCGGCGACGGATCTAGTGAAGGAGGAGATGGTGGCCTAGCTGCTGAAGCGGGTGAGGATGCCACCATCGTCGGTGGCGCCTGCGGGTGTCGGTTTCCTCATTGGAGGCGATCGTGGGGGCGTCCCTGCTCCATTGTTTTCGAGGGAAACCTCAGATCTGGAGGAGGCTACCATTAACGGCGGCGCCCGTGGGCGTCGTAGCCCTCGTTGGAGGCGTTGAGAGGCCTCCTGGATCAGATGATGGCGACATCTTCGTCGTCACCCCCATGAGGGCATCATCTTTGGAGACATTCATCGGCTGGACGGACATGTGGATAGCTTGGTGGTTGGGCATTGGTAGGTGGTCGAGCGGTGCTTCATCCTACACATCAATGGCGGCGGATCTCAGCGGCGTGGCGCAGTGAAGACTCGGCGTTCGATGGGTGGCGATGGACTCGTGCAGGAGGACGACGCTCTCTGGCGTCGTGATGACGTCGATGGCAAAGAGGTCTGGCAAGGTCGATGCGTCAGTATCTGATCTGAGGATGGATCGGTGGATGAAGGAGGTGACAGCTATTGCAGCGTGCACATGTGGTGCCCAATGAAAGTGCGTCGGACCTGTGTGTAACCCAATCCAAGTGGCTTGGATGGGGCATCCGACATTAGATGTTAGGTGTTGGTGCGATGTCTGTTTGGTATTAGGATCGGACATTCGGCACCCCTTCATCACGGGGATAAGAGTAGCAACAGGTGTTGCCAAGATGATGGCTTTAGGCTTAGTGATGTTTACTTTTGTAAGGGCTTTGTGAATAATTAATAAAATAGTTGCATTGCATCGTCAGATGCAGAGGCCGCGGTACTTTTTTTTTAAAATGCTTCATTATTCGGTTTAAGAGATCGGCTAGGCGCCGTTGGCTACAGTATCTAAGTACCCATGCACAATGACACGATTCGTTTGTACGGCGGCCAAAATCGGCGGTGATGTACATGCACGCAGGCGAGCCATCATATGCGGGAGGGCCGTGCGGGTGACCTCGCAGCTCAGGTCCCACAAGCGGTTCGCCTCCGCCTTCCGGAGGTACTGCGAGCTCGTCGACAACGCCAGGCTCTACAGCACCAACGCCATCGGCGGCGCAAAGGTATCTGTAATTTGTTCCTTCTGCATTGATCGTCAGGTTCAGTGGATCAACTGATCGACGGACGTGTTCTCCGTGTTGTGATGCGTGGATCCATGGATGTAACAGCTGATAGGTTGGAAGGACGGGGGCAGCAGGCTGCTGGTGGACGTGGAGGAGATCGAGCTGCTGGACAGGGTGAGCAGGATCAACGAGGAGGCCAACTGCGTGCACGAGCTGTACCAGAACCGGCACCCCACGGGCGGCGCCGGGTCGGTCTGGGAGGACCTGCTGGCGTCGCCGGAGAGGGCTTCCATACAGCGGGAGCTCAAGGCGGCGATCCTCGAGAGCGAGGCCTGCTTCCCGTCCCCGTAGGACATAGCCACGCGCTCTGCTGGCCGCAGTTCTTTATTTTCAGTTTTCGAATAGGAGGATAGATTTCTGGGGACTGGGTTCTGGTCTCTGCACTCCATCCAATCAATACAATGCACGCAGCCATTCCGTACGTACCGTTTGGTCATCATATATAATTTTGTCCGAGAGTTTTGTTTTGGTAAACTTTGTGAACTAGTTGTAAACTTGTAATTAGGTTGGTTAATACCGGCCCTTGTGAGGCAAATTATTATGGAATAAGAGATGGATCAAATGCGCAACATGCATGCATGTTGGTTACTTTCATCAGGGCTAATTCAATTTCAAGAAAACGTTCCGTGTGAATATTTGGGCACGTCTACAAATGTTGACATGAAATGTTTCTAAAAAGAATTCACACCATGCAGGAGACTTGCATGTGTTATACTATAGGGATAGAGTACAATCAACCGATACAAACCAATTGACCAATACCTCTAGATTGGTGTTGTATTTTCGTCAATGGAAAGGGGCTATGCCCGGTTAAAAAAAAATCGACCGATACAAACCACCAAACGGCGACACGAGAAAGAAAAGACCCTCCAAAAGAACCACTCCATATTGAAATGATTCATTTTCGAGAAAGAACCATTCACATCCCTTTTTTTGCGATTTCAAATAACTCGCACACCACACACAATACTACACATGACACAAGCACACCATCACAAAGCGCGTCTCCTAATCACATGCTAGAATGACATCGGCCGGAATAAATCTGAGAATCTCACTAAATCCGAGAATGGGTACCAGGATTTGAGGGCCTGCTTGGATCCGAGGGACTATTTTTAGTCTGACTAAAAATAGTCTTTTTTAGAGGCTAAATTTCCAAGCACCCCTGACTAAAGAGAGGCTAGAACTAGTCTTGAGGCTAAAACTTTTTAGTCACATGAAACCTACTAAAATATGTATTAGCCCTCTCTCTCCTCATTTAATTCATCTCCTTTAGCACATGCAAGTTCTGGATTGGATGGTTTGGAGGATAATAAATGCTCAATAACTTCATTTTAGTCTCTTTAGTATTTGGATCCAACCATGGGTGAGTCTAGCAAATTTTAGTCCCACTACTTTTAGTCATGGGACTAAAACGTATCCAAGCACCCTCTGAACCTAGTGAGCATAGCCGCGGCCCCATGACTTTACCATCCATAAGAGAGAGGTGGTTCTGATTCTTTTCGGAAGCCAGCATTTCACGTAAAGAGTTGGTTTCAGTCGTCGTAAATACTCTGGTGACACGTGAATAGTACTGTATGAGCTAAATTTCCATTTACGTCTCGCTTCGCTGGACCCTGCAAGCAGCCGGATTTGATTTCCTCGAGCTTCACCAAGGCATTTGTTATTCGCATGTCCACCTCAAACGAAGATACCTACGCGCACGACATGAACGGAGTTTAGCAAGTACTAATAGTAGTAGTATAATTGAATTTCGCATGATACTGAATCAAACCATGTTGACTATTCTGACTGAAGCAGCAGTCAACTTGCGACTATATTATACAGTACTCCGTTTGACTTATTCGGGCACTCGTGAATGTCGTTGGCCGTACTGAGGCACCGATAGTACATAGCAATTGATAATTCGAAAGAATTCAAGTCGAATTGTTTTTTCCAGCGCACGTACCGTGGGCTCCACCCTGACGACCAGATTGCCGTCGCCCGCAGCTCGTGCATGGCCTTGAGCCGCCTGATGAAGCACGCAAGCCATAGAAGGACACCTGCCCTCGCCGCGCACATTGACCACGACGCTGCTGCCGTCACGAGACGACGACAAACCGGCCGCCCCAGACCCAGAGTGCTAAAATCTTTATATATATATATATATATATATATATATATATATATATCTTTATCTTTACCTTATTTTTAATTTTTTAATAATAAAGAAAATTGGATTTCTGTCGTCCGTCATTGCATATTTTGCATAAAAGCCCTTGAGGTTTTTTTATTCAACCCGCAATCCTTTTTAAGGGGGTTAATCTGAAAAAAACGATTCATTCTTACAAAAAAGACCCTGTATTTTCGAGTATTCAATCCTTATTGCAGGGGGCAGCCATGACGGGGAGGCGGCGCTGGGCGGCGCAGCTAGGCGGGAGGAGCGCTCTGAAATGAAGGAGGAGAAAAGTGGAGAGTCGGCGGGCTGGGTCAACCCATCGGCATCTCCCAATCGATCCGGATCGGAGCGACTCAACGAGCCTGCGGGCCGGTATGCGGCTCTCCTGCAGAGGGCGGCGACCGATGGGCGAGCGATGGCGGCCGAATCCAGGTGAGTGGCGGCGGGACCTTGCAAGGCGCCGGGTTTCTCTGAGGCGGCGCCATGGCTGCTCCGGCGTGCTCCTGAAAAAAAAACGAGGGAGGATGAGTGAGAGAAAGAAAACTAGGAGGAAGGAGAGAAACGAGGGGAGGCACAGGAGTGCACTGTGTTGCTGGTTGCTCCGGCCAAGATGGGATGAGGCGAGACGCTCGTCTCTTGTTAAAACAATAAACAAGTGCGAAGATTCAGCCGAGCATTGCTGGTTGAACTTGTCAGCTTCACAAGTTGACTCCATGGTCACCAACGAATGAACACAAAAACTTGAGTGAAGTGGGGATTCAAAAAGTCGGATTGAAATGCAACGGAGCTGGATCTTACTTAGCCAAGAACTTCTTTTCTTCCCAAAAGGAAATCAAATAGTGGCTAGCAAGAACCTGAAGAAGTTGGATTCACGTCTGCGCAGACTAATCCCACAAATAAATTGGCAGCGGAGGAAAAAGGCCCGATGAATTGAAGAAAGAGCAAACAAATTAGTCAAATGCAGGGGTATTTTTTCTCTTTTCTAAAGGCAGTGCCATGAGGCAGCGGTTCGATCAAAAGGGAGTGGCCTCCTTATTAGCAGTAAAGGGAAAATAGATGATTTGCGTCGAAGTGACCCAGACTGAATCCAAGAAAAAAATATCAACAACACGAGTTTAAGTGGAGATGATTTCGGATAAGCACACCAAATAAGCAGAAGTAAGAGGTGGGAGATTTTGCAGTCCATCCAGAACCAGCAAGGCCGCTTCCATCCCCGCTAAGAACACCAAGGATGCCCTCCGAGCTCAGAGAGAGAGAGAGAGAGAGAGAGAGAGAGAGAGAGAGATGCAGTGGCGGCGAGGCGGCCTGCTGGAGCGGATTGGAGCTGAGCAGACGGTGGATGGAGATGGCCGGGCCGGCAGTAGCAAAGTCGCCGAGGTGGAGTAGTATATACAGTTATCCACACAGTGCCCCAACGTGGATCGGAGGAGGGGGAGAAAAGCAGGTGGTGGGCGGTGATCTGAAGAGAAGGCTCGAGAGACTTCAAAAGTAGGTGGTGATGGTGGGGCTGGGGGCAAGAAAAGGATTATTATTTTTAAGATCGGAGGCTACAGTGCAGCATACCTTTCTCCTCCTGCGCACGAACGATCAGTTCGGAATCTGGGGAAAAAACACCGTGTTTGGCTCGAAACATTGACCGATCTTCTGTTGTTTTCGCACAAAAAATGCTTTCAGAGTACAGTACGCATGCTCTATTCACGCTGCTAGGTCGGTACAGTAATGCATTCGTATATCGGGCGGAAATTAATTAATCTTTTGGTTGGGTGATGTCGGCGGTTGACGATTTACTGTTGCTCGCGGGTCAGCAACAATGTATGCTGTTACACGATACTGTAGACGAATTTAATGAATGTAATATATGGGATCCTCAGGTGCCAGTGCTGCTCATGCTCAAGCCCTCTGTCAGTGCATGTTTTTCCTGGGATGCTGGAATTAAGTAGTCTCCGTCGATTCATCATGCAGATCAGGTTGTACCACTGTGCCATCGACTAACCGGCCTATACAACTTGGATGTTCTACAGATATAATTTTCACTAAACCAGAAACATAATATGCACGCAGAGCTTAACAATGAATGTACTATGTCAGTTCAGTTCGTTCATCAAGAGACAGATAACAAAGCTTGAGATGGCTCGAAGGTGTATGTGTTAAGAGATTAATGTAGTTTCACAAGGCACGCCGAGAAGGGATCCACAACCTCTACCCATAGAAATCGCATTCGACTTGCCGAGCCGACCCCTAGCCATCCTCAGATCCAGCCAATTCTAAAATATGCAAGACACAGTAGGACCCCGGTTTGAAATCAGCAACAAAGAAATTGTTGGGGTGGCCGACGAACTTATTATAAGCAAGTTAGTGTATTCATTTGCTACTTGGAGATTACATCGTGCATTTTCTACTTGGAGACTACATGGTGCATGTTGGTGAGTAATTTTAGTGATTTAGTAATGCATAAGTTTATAAAAAGATTTGCTTGATCATCATGCGCAGAGGTAATTCTGCATTTTGAAGGAAGTTTTTTTCTTGGGAAACAAAGTTAGTTGATTTTGATCCAAATCCGATGATGTTTTTCTCAATTCCTTATGAAATCTATGGAAGTGGCATATATTTGATCGATAATCTGGTAGTTACATACATATATAGACAGTATCATGTTTTGTTTTTGCTTTTTAGCATCAACGTTGTAGCCCTATGGTTACACACGAATGACAGGATAATAAACATAAAAAAAATTTCCCGTTGCAACGCACGGGCATTTGTGCTAGTATATAGGTAAAGCAAATTGGGTTTCTTTCGTCCGTCATGGCATTTTTTAGAAAAATCTCTCTATTTCAGAGAATTCAACCCGCAGTACTGTTTTAAGTTAAAACGAATCGTTTTTACATATTTTATACAAAACTCCCTGTGTTTTGTTGAAATCAACCCGCGGTTCGGATTTAAGTCACACCCGAACCATTATTTTACATTTTTCGAAACCCCCCTGATGTTTTAGGTAATTCATCCACGGATCATATTTAAGTCAAACAATGTTGCTTTAAATCATCCATATTTTTTAAACCGTAACTCCGATTTGAACATGTTATATATGAAATTTGATTAGAAAAATATGTAGAATATGAATATGAGATTATTT